AAAAAAAAAAAAAAAAGAAAAGAAAACAGATGACCCTAGGAGATGCCTTGTCCAGTGGGAGGAGCAAATTGACCAGAGGGGTTCCCATAAAAGAACAGATGACATGTTAAGGTATCCCCAAGGATTGAACAGATGCTCAGTCTCCAATACAGGGTCTCCAAGGACTGGGCAACAGAAAGAAATAGAAAAACCACAAAGTGAAGACATGATTAAGAGCACAAAAGAAGGTCTTTGGAGGCAGCAGTGTCCCTAAATAAATTACCCTCCTTAACACAGTATAAGCCACATGCACCTGGGCCGTGACATTTACAAGTATTACCACAACCTCCCCCCACTCCGAAACTGCCTTGCAAGGACAGAAAAGGAGAGGGTTCCCAATTCTGAAAATTTCCATCCATTTCCAAGAAAAATCATGAATAGTCTAACCCCGCTTAACATAAAATTAGGGAATTAGCATGAAAGGAGAAATCTTATTAAATTCAATTTCTCCTCCACTCACGGGGGCTGACCATTTCTTCTCTGGAATATCCTTCAGTAAATTTTGGCATTTTGCCTGCTTGCACCTGCCTGCTCTGCTCATTTACTCCACCAACTCAGTACCAGTAACATTTTTACTACTGGGAACCAAGAACCAGGGGACCTGGGGAACTGACAGGATGGACAGCAGGAATGTCCACTGGCCTGGCCCAGGGGATCACTGGGCTGCAGGCAGGCTGCAGAGGACTGACAAGAGGAGGTGAGGTGGGGACGAGTGGTGAGGACACATAGAGGGTGTCATCAGGTGCCAGAAGAGGTCCCGTCACATCAGATGGGGCACTGGCAGGGAGAAGCAGATGGGACGGGTCCTGGCAGGTGGCCCATGGGCTTGTGGGTGCAACTTCTGTTTCTGCTATAAACTAGGATGTGGGAACGCCTGCGGGAGGGGGACATTTGCAGAGAAGGGGAAGGCTTGACTTTGTCCCTCTGTACACAAGCTTCTTCTACTTCTGTGTTTTTAGGGGAAATATTTTCCACGTGGATATACAAAAAGCAGAGGGAACTGTCTCTGTGTGTATATCCAGCCAATTCATTTATTTAAGACCAAATATACAATCTTTCATCACCAAGGAGTGGTGTGAGTGTGGGCATGGTCCACTCCTCTGGCCGCGGGTCTCTTGTAGAAAGGCCGTTCTCCTGACCATGTCACACAGATGGACCCATGTGCAGCACACAAAGGGCTGTGCCATCACCCCAGCCCTCAGTCTGCTGTGGGAGGCCTGGCCTGGCCGGCACTTCGAGACTCTCCGAGGCTATCCCCCAGGCAGTCTCAGGGTGTCCTGGGGGATGAAGCTCCCTGCCCCTACCTCCAAGAGAAGCCCACTCCCTTTCTAAACATCCAGGAAGCTCCCGTGGTGCAGCACAGAGAGGCTGTGAGGCTGCGACCCCACGGTCCAGCTCAGCTCTGCTCGCCAACCAGAGTCCTGGTCTTCCGGAATATGCTCTCCATGGCAGAGATCCGGTCCTTATCCTGGATGTTGAAGACCTGGAACTACAGGTGCAGCAGGGGCAGAGGGTTGCAGACACAGCCAGAGCTGGTCACAGGCATCCCAGGGCAGGAATACACATGGAACAACTCACCCTCCCTGGGCCCCACCAACCACACTGCCTCAGGGTATCTGTCTGGCCAGTCACCCTGGCATCCTCCCCCCACCTGGGCTTCCTCACATGCAGATTTCCCAAGCACAGTGGAGGCCCCACTAGGTACTGGCTTAAAACTGACTGTGCACCCCCACCTACCCCACCCAGCCCCACAGGACAGAGCAGGGCCACTCTGCCTAGTCTGCAGACTTGGAGCCCCAATTCTTAAGTGGTGGGTGGGGAGGTGACCCCAGGAGGCTATCAGCATCTCAGCAGACAGGGATTTGCTAGAAAAGGACAGGAGAAGCAACGCACTGCTGTCACCTGTTGCCACGATGACAAAGGAGAGGGTGGCTGAGAAATGGCGGGTGTGCCAGAGGTGGGGAAGGGCGAGCTCGAGCCAGCAAAACCAGGGGGCTCTAGGAGGGGCAGCTGGCGGAGCAGCCAGGCACCCCTACATCACACCGGAGGATGCAAGAACCACAGGGCCCAGGGGTGAGGCTGGAGCCTGTCCCCGTGAGGCCCAAGGAAGGCTACACCCTTCCATGAGGAGCAGAGCCCCAGGATGGTCAGAGGTGTGGGACACCTGAGACTGGCTGCTTGAACCCCAGAGAGCAGCCCTGGCCCTCCTGGCCCCAGGCAACCCATGTGGACACTTGGCTTGAGCTCCTGGCCCCTTGGCCTCGCCTAAGCTGCCCTACCAGGCTCCACACCCACCTTGTCCAGCAGAACATCAAAGTAGGCGGTGGCCCAGTAGGCAGGGTCGCTGGCAGGCAGCTGCAGGAGTGCCTTGATCCCAGTGGTGATGCGTGGTGGAGGGCTGCGGCCCAGGTGGGTGGCGTGGATGCGCAGGGATGCCTCGGGCTGGCTGGCGAAGCCCTCCACGCGCTGGTAGATGGCACTGAGGTCCAGGCCGCCACCCTGCAGCAGGTTGTGCTCGGGGTAGAGGAAGTGGGGCAGATTCCTGGTAGCCAGGCAGCTAAGCAGCACAACCAGCACACGGTACACGGCGCCCTGCAGCTCTGCCCAGTCCTCAGGTGCCGGGAACAGTACGCAGGCCCACAGCAGTGCCGTCTGTGGGGCAGCAGGGTCAGCCCTCCCATTCTCCCTCCCACACCTGCCACCCCCACCCTGTCCCCAGCCACCCTCTCCCCTCCTTGCAGGCAGGGGCCGAGTCAGAGCCCCTGGTCCCTGCCTCTTCCTTGCCCTTGGCAGGTGAGGTTACAATCTCTGGAAGGGCACTGATCTGCCAGGGCATCACAGCAGCCAGGGAGCAGCAGAGGCTGGCTCCACTCAGAGGGGGCATTCCAGCCAGGTAAGGCTCACAGACACCAGGGAGGACAGCTGGGGTCTCTCAAGGCAGATGCTCACTGGGCGGAGACGCTTGGCACTGGGAAGACCAACCCCAAAGTCCTACTGAACAGGTGCCCCAGGGCTGGGAGGGCCTCCAAGGCCAAAGCTCAGGGTGGCAAGTACTGCCTGAAATGCACAGTGCCCTGCAGCCATGTCCTGCCAGACGCCCCTGTGAGGTGTGGCCTTGCTTCCTCGAAACCCAGACAAACCTGAGAATCTTCCCAACCACTCAGCACTGGCACAGGGACAAGCATGGGCACCCCTGCCCTCGGCCCCAGGTCATAGATGTGGGCCAGCGGGTCAGGGCAGGCCTGGGCTGCCACTGAGCCCTCCCCCATACCTTCAGGTGATTGAAGGTCAGGCCCGCACTGTGGCCACCCTCTCGCCAATTTTCATGGTTCACCCTGTCGAGGATGGAGAGACTGTCCAGGCGGTGGCCTCGGAGGGAGCCCAGTGCACTGAGCAGCTTGGTGAGCAGGTAGTCCGTGGAGGTCCTGGAACCCACAGACACGCCGTCATCCCCAGCTGCTGCTGCCTCCCTGATGTCAGAAGTTCCTGGGCCCGGGAGAGTTGGGCCATGGCAGTGGTTGTGCTATGAGGTATCCTGTCTGGTGGGACCAGCCTGGCCCTGCACACACCTCGGAAGCTGCACTCACTCGCAGTTTCTACAGAACCCCGACCCCCACCAGCCCAGAACATGGGGAACATAGGGAGCCCTAAGAAAAGGGGTTGTAGCAGCTCCACTTGGTCCCGGGGCAGGTGTCAGTGCAGCCCTCCCAGGGTGTGTCAGCTCCCCAGGACTCATCTGGGCATCCTGAGCCAGACTCTGGGGGTAGGTGCAGGACATGACAGAATCTCTGCCCCTGTGCCCCACCATGCCAGTGGCTCAGGGCCCTGCACACCAGAGGCACTCACTACATGCTTGCTGAACAGAATGAAGGGGTAGAACCTGGGGACACCTCCATGGGCCCCACTCTTTGCAGAGCCTCACTCCTGAGCAGTCATATCCCCATCCCTCCTCCCCCATGCAGGAGACAGGCCTCAGAAAGGCCATTTTCCCGTTTCCTTGCCAAAAATGACGGCTCAGCCCAGGCCCCATCATTTCCTGGGCATTGGTTCAGCTTGTCACAGCCCCTGCCCTGTGCCAAGGAGTCAGCTGGGATGCAAGGGCTGGGTTGGGGCTCCCTGGTGCTCCACAGAGCTCTTCCTCAGGCAGAAACCTCCAGAAAGCATGTGAGTGACCTGCTGGACAAGTGCCAACCACACACAGGACTCTCAACTGTCTCAGGGGCATCCCTCAGGCACCTGGGCTGGCTGAGAATCACCCAGCCAGCTCACGACAACCTGGCCCATAAGACGCTGTGTCAGCCGTGTCAGCTCTGGGCAGGCTTAGGCCCCAGGGCTCGGTTTGAGTCTCAGGTGCTCAGCCTCCCCTGCGGCCCTCCTTCCTGCCTCTCCTAGACACTGAGCTCAGTCTGCTGCTGACAGAGGGCAAGGGACCCAAAGGGGCTGACAAAACTCCAGGTCTGGTGGGAGGTTGGAGGGGCATCTGTCGCTAACCACCTGGGGAGGGGGCACATTGGATGGAGGCACAGTAATCTGGGGAGTGCAGCCCCTGGATGAAAGTTGCCAGCAAGCCCCAGTGGTAGCCAGCTTCCCCAGACCCAGCACCCACTGAGTGGGGCCCCTCTTGGCTGCTGTCCCCCCTCAAAGAAGTCAGCAGGCTGGGTGCACAGGACTCCAGTGCAAACTCTGACACATCCAGTCTCCCAGACACAGCCTGGAGGAGGACACACCTTCCCCCAGCAGCTCCAAGAGCTGGCTGGACCCCCAGGCTCCTAGAAGGCCCCAGTAACCTCAGTAGGACACAGATACCCATGGGGCAGGCCCTCCCACCTGGGGCAGGGGAGCACAGAGCTGGTAGCCCCTTTCTGCCTGTTCCCAGACGTGTCTACCTCCAGTGGTGGGCACTTGCTGGCACCAAGTTCACCCCTTTGCTGATGATCCTTGTCAAGCTGCCCTTGGGGAATCCGGGTGTCAGCTGGGCCCCCTCCAGGGCAGGCAGCCTCTGCTTCCTCCTCACCACAGGCACAACATTGAAGCGGATTGTCCTCCAGCCACTGGACACCAACAGGGCCAGGTGGAGCTGCTCCTCCCTCAGGCTGGCCGCATTTAGTGAACCTGCAAGGGCCCAAGGTCATCTGGCTCCCTCTTCAGTCCCAACCCAGCTTCAAGGGACACTCCCCAGTCCCTCTCACTTCCTACTCGGCCCTTGCCTCCTCATCACCTCTGACCTGCAGCCCCATCTGTCCACCCTCTGTGGGCTGCAGCTCCCTCCCAGGACACCCGTGTCTGTCCTGACCCTCAGCCATCCATCAGAGCCCTTCATCTGGGGTTTCTCTCTGCCCCACACCCCTGGCCCAGCTTGCTGACCACACCTCCCCAGGCCTTCTTGATATTGCCTGGGGCTGAGGCCCCCGCTGACGCTCCCCTGGAGACTCTGCTCACCCCCCTTGACTGCCCAGCCTCTCTGCTGGTAGCAGCAGCCAGCTGGGGCCAGGAGGGATCCCACCCAAGAATCAGAGAGGGCCAGGCTATGGCTGGACCTCTGTGATCAGACCCTGCCTCTCTTGTCCTTAAAAGCCCCTCAAAGGCTCCCAAATCACAGGAAGCCCCATGGGGTATTACCCTAGGGTTGCACATTGCTCTCCACTCAGGCTGCACCCAGCGGAGCCCAGAGCTACTTCCCTGAGATGGAGCCCAAATGGCCCAGGAGGGGACGTTCAGGCTGGCGGAGCTGTGACCCAGGGCCCCCCACCTCCCTCAGCTGTGCCAGCCCTGCAGAGAGAGGGCAACAGCCTAAGAACACAGTGCGTGGCAGTGGCCACCAGCACCCCGCCCTGCCTAGCACTGGCCACATGGGCAGCAGTTTCCCTCCGCTCCCCAAGGCCTGCCCAGCCAGGCAGAGCAGGCGTCACCAGCCCAGGCCTTGGAGTGGTGGCTGGGATGGGTGCAGGTGTGGCTGCTCCCTTCCAAGCTGCCATTGCACAGACAATATGTCCAATATGTCCACAGAGGACAAGGGATACAGCCATGAGCATACAGGTCAGAGGTCAGGGTAGCAGACCCGCCATGAGGAGGGCCCAGAAAGCACATCAGCATGTCCTCCACTCACCCCTTAGAGAAGAGTCTCCACGTGAGCATGGGGGCTGTATCCCCTCTGTCCCCAACCCAGGACAAGGAGTCTGGCCCCACTGTGCATCCCCCATCTTCTGCAGGGTAGCTCTGGGCCACCTTCCATGACCCTCAGTTGGCAGCCCAGGACCTGCCACCTGTACCACTCCATTCCCCCATGGGCCTCATTCCCTTCCATGAGAGGGGGCTGGGCCCCTCCCCTGCAGCATTTGAAGTGCCCATCCAAGCCCCCCTTTGTGGCTGCATCTCTTTGTCCACCATTGGTCACACATGCTGTCCATGCAGTGGCAGTTTGGAAGGCAGCCAGCCACACCTGCACGGGTCCCAGCCACCACATCAGAGCCCCAGCTGGTCACACCAGTTCCCAGGGTTGGGCAGCCTGAACCCTGTCACCCAGGTTCCCTTTTAAGGTAAGTATCAGGAAACAATGTCTGGAATTTCCCTGCACACCTAGCATAGTGGCCTAGTGGGGTGGCAGGAACGGGCCTCGCAGCTTAGATTGAACCTGAATGACCCCTGAAGGCCTGGCAGAGCCTCCTGTCCACCCCAATAGGCAGGTCTATCTCCCAGGTGGGGGGTAGGCCTGTAGGTGACAGGGCCAGGTGGGAATAGCCATGTTAGGTCAGACAAGGAGACAGAAATGGTCTTCCCAGCCACCTGTGGTAATTAGAAGGCTCAGAAGATGACCAGGTAAGGTGCTGTGTGGCTGGAGGGCAGGGTGAGGCCTGGCCGTGGGAGGCCAGAAGCCAGACACCCGATGACAGGCTGTGGCTGCCAAGAGGTCAGATTGGTCACTTGCCCCCGAATACCTGGCAGGTCTGGGGAGGGGCTGGGGATGTGGGACATGTTGGAAGCATTTCCGGGGGCCTGAGAACTTTCTGGGTCTCCCACTGCTGCTTACAGGCTGGAGGCCCAGCTGTGTGCTGTGCTGGCCCTCCCTTCCCAGAGTCCATGGGAAGCAAAAAGGAAAAGGCAGTCCCACAGTGCATGTGGCCGAGGTCCTGCTGCCTTGGGAGGTACCCAACCTGGATGTGCAGCCAGACCTGAGCAGGGCACTGCCCCTCGTCAGGCAAGCTGACCTCCCCACCTGCCAATGTAAGGATCAGTCAAATACCAGGGAGGTGATTTGGAGCAACAAATCCCTGTGATTCACATGCGACATGCCTGTCCCCTCCCAAGGGAAACAGGACAGTTTACTGGGTCCCTAGTTCCCTGCCAGGAAAAACTGAGGTCTTGCCTTGACCCCCAGGATGGGCTCTATCACTTACCCCTCATCCTGGTCCCTGCACAAGCTGTCCCAGGCTCCCAGCCACCCCTCAGCAAACAGCCCTGTGGAACAGAGCCCTGCGTCCAGCCCCGTGTCCAGCCCTGTGGGCGCCCTGCTCACCCCAGCTCAGATGCGACCCCAGTGGTAGCAACAAGACCCCAGAGACTGAGGCCAGACCATGGACTCAAACAAAGTGCCAGCCTCAGAGCCCATCTAGGGCCCAAAACACCAGTTAGTAACTCAGCCATAAATTGATGGAGACAAGAGCACACGTGCACCTACAATCCCATGGCTGAACCCACACCCACGCACACTGCACCCCTCCCAGCCTGCACAGTGTAGCCAGACTCTGGAAGTGGGGGTGGCTGTGAGGACCATTATGCTGGGCTGACAACAACAGAGCCAACGCCCAGAACCTGCTGGGGACTCTCAGCAGGCAAGTCAACCAGCAAAAAGCACTCTGGTCACAACACCCTTGAAAATGTCATCACCAACGTCTCCACGCAAAGACTACATGACAGGAAAGACATGACCTGTCCTCTTAGCTGTGTGGGGGGCAAGGAGGGCCTCAGAGTGATGTCTCCCAATTCACGTAAGCCCGACA